AGACCATCCTAGTCACACTCCCCTCTCAGCATTCCCACACCCCAGCAAGAACAGTCCCAGTTCGTCACACATGCCTCTCTGGGCAGCCTCTAATGCCACACACAAGTGGCGAGAATCTACAGTGGTGTACTTTCTCCATTTTCTATAGCACTGGAGAACTTTTGACGTTAGTTCTCCTTTACTACTGATTTAGACACATCTGGCCAGATACGTAGCACTAAAGATAAAGGCAATATATTGAGGGCTGCAAAAATAGGGGTTAGGGGAAGCACATACTTCTAAAGAGGCTATCCAAAACAGGGCTGCACCAAGTCATTCCAGCCCTTGACGCTTGCTTCATGGGTTACAGTGTGTCCTGCCACACTGCCATGGCTCACCCACATAAAAGGCATGTACTATGCTGGTGAGGTCCCACAAACATGTTTGTTTGGGCAGGCTATCACCCCAGAAAAAACATTATAGGGTGATGGCAGCAAGGGCTACCCACGCATACTGTCCCTCTGGGTGAGTGTTGGCAGAGCCCCCCAGAACAGCAGAATACTGAATTAATAACCCATTAAAATGCATGGGGCAGTTCTCCCATTTAAGAGGAGAACTATAGTTAAAGGCTGTCTACAGATTCAGGCACTGATATCACTTGGGTCATGTTTTGAGGCTCATCGGCTGATGTCATCACATAACTCTTGAGCTGAGACACTAGGCTTGTGCCTCTGAGGTCTGATCCAACACCCATTGAACCAGTGGGAAGACTGCCATTGACTTCAGTTGGCATTGGATTGGCCCCATAGGATATGTCTACACTGCAATTAAAAACCTATGGCTGGCCTGTGCAAGCTGACAGGCTTGTGTGGCTTGGACTAAGTAGCTGTTAATTAGGGGCCTGAGCCTGAATGTCTACACCACAATTAAACACGAGCCTGAGTCGGTGATATGAGCCAGCCGTGCCTTTTTAATTGCAGTGTAGACATAGGCACTATGGGTATGTCTTAATCAGTTCCTGTATCTACATGAACTAGCTAAATGTTATTAGGTGATTACTGGGCGAGATCCTATTATTACCCTTGCAGAGTTTTCTTCCATTTTAACTAAGTCAGAGATAAACCTCAACAGTGAAATTCCAGTTAATCAACAGAGGGAAGAGCAAACCTCAACTTCTCTCCTGTCCTGTAAATTTTGATAATTATTTTATCAACATTGTGCTAGGAACCATGCACTAAACTAGATCTGGAGGAAGGAGGTGATAGGTGAAGACTAGCCCTTCAGGGCAGGAATGTCTCTTGTATGTTTGTGTAGCACCCAGCACAATGGGTCCCCATTGGGATATTTGGGTGCTAACATAATACAATTCAATTAAAATGCAACTGGAAATTGACAACCTATGCTAAGGCCTAAACTTATTATAATCTATTAAAGTCATTTAAATACAAAAAATATTAAGCAACACACGTGTGCTGCCAATTTTTAAAGGGCTAGTCTTCACCCATCACCTCCTTCCTCCAGATCTAGTTTAGTGCATGGTTTCTAGCACAATGTTGATAAAATAATTCTCAAACTACTGAACTGGTGGAAGCCACTAGATAAGCACTTGGAACCAAAGTTAGTTGAAATGCAAAACCGGCTTTTCACAACAGTAGCCTCTTTTGCAGCCGCAGAGAGAATATTTTCTTTATTTCA